AGTAGGACTGGAATAGGATAGGATAGGATAGGATAGGATAGAATGGAACAGAACAGAACAGAACAGAACAGAACAGAATAGAATAGTTGGAAGGGACCTTGGAGATCTTCTAGTCCAGCCTCCCGCTCAAGCAGGAGATCCTACACCATTTCTGACAGATGGCAATCCAGTCTTTTCTGGAAAGCTTCCAGTGATGAATCTCCCACAACATCTGAAGGCAAACTGTTCCATTGGTTGATTGTTCTCACTGTCAGAAAAGTTCTCCTTATTTCTAGTTTGAATCTCTCCTTGATCAGTTTCCATCCGTTATTCCTTGTTCAGCCTTCAGGGGCTTTGGAAAATAGGTGGACCCCCCTCCTCTCTGTGGCAGCCCCTCAAATATTAGAAGGCTGCTACTCTGTCTCCCCTGGTCCTTCTCTTCACTAGACTAGCCATGCCCAGTTCCTGCAACCGTTCTCCATATGTTTCAGCCTCCAGTCACCCTGATCATCTTTGTTGCTCTTCTCTGCACTCTTTCTGGAGTCTCAACATCTTTTTTATAGTGTGGTGACCAAAACTGGTTGCAGTATATGATTGTAAGTCAAAGACCACTTGTATCTTGTACATAAAAGACTTCCTAAATTCTCCTTAGCAAGGTCTCACCAATAAGAAATCCAAATTCAGCACTGTTGCATCTATGGATGTACAGACCTTCCAGCTCTGTCTCTGAGTTTCAGCATTGTGTAATGTGTGCACTGTTGTTGATTATATCTGTTGGAGATGTTGATTATATTTGTTGAAGTGCTGAGCGCATTAAAGCTTTACAAATCTCAACAGTCACATTTTTCAATCCCACTCACTCAGGTGGGGGGAAAGTTGCATGCTTTAATAGAGAAATTGCCTTTATAAATTGGTGCTTTTAGTGGGGAAAAAATGAAAAATGCATTTCCTAGTACCTAGTCTCATCCTTTTGGGCAGGTTTAAGAAATTGCAAAGTAGTCAAAGTCACCATCTAAAATGGATGAATACAGGATGAAAAAAAAAAGCCTTTTCGTTCATTGCTAGTTTTGGTTTTAATTTCTGGAATGAACAAGCCAGAACAAACCCAGAAAAATTTCAGATTCTGGAAGAGTGCAGAGAAGAGCAATAACAACGATTAGGGGACAGGGGGTGAAAACATACGAAGAACGGTTGCAGGAATTGGGTATGTCTAGTTTAATGAAGGGGGACATGATAGCAGTGTTCTAATATCTCAGGGGCTGCCCCAAAGAAGAGGGAGTCAAGCTATTCTCCAAAGCGCCTGAAGGCAGGACAAGAAGCAACGGATGGAAACTAATCAAGGAGAGAAGCAACCGAGAACTAAGGAGAAACTTCCTGACAGTTAGAACAATTAACCAGTGGAACAACCTGCCTCCAAAGGCGGTGAATGCTCCAACACTGGAAGTTTTTAAGAAGAGACTGGACAGCTATTTGTCCGAAATGGTATAGGGTTTCCTGCCTGAGCAGGGGGTTGGACTAGATGACCTCCAAGGTCCCTTCCAACTCTGTTATTCTGTTATACATCTCAGACATTTGGGTCTAGTCCAGAGCGTCCTTCTCTTTGCATTCCGAAAGCTGATTAGGTTTCATCCTGCAACTTCCTCCAAATCCAGCTTTCCACTCCTTTTCAGGTCACAGATAACGTGGCACGGATTGTAGTTTGCAAATTGCCCGTTTGTCGGCTTTGACATCAAGAAGCAAAAAATTAATACGATGTTAAAAGGAAAGGAAGGGAATACATTCTGTGTCATTAATTCAACAGGGGAGCCGATGACAAGATTTCCTTTAAAAAAGAAAAAAAGAAAATAATGGTAACGGCGAATATTCGCTTTCCTTTCATCCGCTGAAAATCCAGAGGCAGAACTCAGAATGCCAAATAGCATCTTTGAGATGAAAGCAGAATTGACAAAGTCAGCCAGCTTATGTGGTGCTGCATGGTCCAGGATCTGGATCTGAGGGATGGATGGATGGATAGCTAGATAAACAGACAGACAGACAGACAGACAGACAGACAGACAGACAGACAGACAGACAGACAGACAGAAGATACATATGGCTAGATAGATAATATGGGTGAAGACTGATGAAGATAGATCTGGACCCTAGGGTTGGATTGATGGATGGATGGATGGATGGATGGATGGATGGATAGCTAGATAGATAGATAGATAGATAGATAGATAGATAGATAGATAGATAGATAGATAGATAGGGGATAGGAATAGAATAGAAATAGAAATAGAAATAGAAATAGAATAGAATAGAATAGAATAGAATAGAATAGAATAGAATAGAATAGAATAGAATAGAATAGAATAGAATAGAATAGAATAGAAGATACATATGTCTGGAGATAGATAGATATGGGTGAAGAATGATGGAGATAGATAGATTTGGACCCTATGGATGGATTGATGGATGGATGGATGGACGGACGGACGGACGGACGGACGGACGGACGGACGGACGGACAGACAGACAGACAGACAGACAGACAGACAGACAGACAGACAGAAGATACATATGGCTGGAGATAGATAGATATGGGTGAAGAATGATGGAGATAGGTAGATTTGGACCCTAGGGATGGATTGATGGACGGACGGACGGACGGACGGACGGACGGACGGACGGACGGACAGACAGACAGACAGACAGACAGACAGACAGACAGACAGACAGATAGATAGATAGATAGATAGTAGATAGACAGAAGATACATATGGCTGGAGATAGATAGATAGATAGATAGATTTGATAGATAGATAGATAGATAGATAGATAGATAGATAGATAGATAGATAGATAGATAGATAGATAGATAGATAGATAGATAGATAGATAGATAGATAGATAGATAGATAGATAGATAGATAGATAGATAGATAGATAGATAGATAGATAGATATGGGTGAAGACTGATGGAGATAGATAGATCTGGACCCTAGGGATGGATGGATGGATGGATGGATGGATGGATGGACCATGCTGCTTTTCCAATACTTAAATGTAAAACTAGAAAACCAATAAAATTTTCTTTTCTTAAAAAAAAAAAAAGAGTTGAATGCCACGTCCTCTATATGGAGTTTTTTCTTTCTTTCAATCGTTGTCCGTGGATTTCTCTTTGTATAGTTAATGCAGTTAATCTGAATTAAGGCCTTTGCTATCCTTCGCTTTCTTGACGCTCTTCCTTGGCCCATTTATTAAATTTATATGCCACCCGGAGTGACTCTCCAGAACTTTAATAGCTCGATAAGACGATGGGAAAAAAAAAACCCTCCACAATCTCTTCAAGAAGGAGGCACCATTTAATTTTAATGGCTTCTCTTCCTGCACAGCAGCTGCTTTTACTGGAAGGTTTACAAGATCGGGGTCTTTCAGCCAAGCATCATTTCCTTCCCTTTAAATTTCCTCTTAAATTCTCCCGTGGTCGTGAATCATTTTGGAACTACCAGAGATGTTGTAATCTCACGCCCGGGAAGGACACGGTATAAAAATGAGTGATATTCTTGTAGTCTGGCTGGTAATTCTTGGGACTGCCACGAAGATGGTGACAGAAACATGGAAATAAATTTGCAGAAGGCAGTTTCAACGTTGTAAATGAACGCTTTCTAACGTGCTTTTGTTCGGTTTGACGAAAGAACAGGCTACTAATTTTACAGACACAGAGGTTACTTCGTAGGTTTTACTTTTGAAGTCCCAAAGGTGCTTTTTTTTTTTTTTTAAAGGCAACTGGATTTTCTTTGATTTCCTTGAAGACATTTCTCATCCAAGAAGCTTTTTCAGTTGTGTTCCCCAGTTCTCCAGAACTGAAGAAGCTTCTTGGATGAGAAGAGAAATGTCTTCAAGGAAAAACAAAGGAAGTCCAGTTGCCTCTTGAAAAAAAAAAACCACCTTTGAGACCATCCAGACCTGGGTGACTGAGAATCTCCATAGACTCCATAGACCAGGGGTCTTCAAACTTGGCCCTTTTGTGACTTGTGGACTTCAACTCCCAGAATACTACACGCTGGCTGAGGAATTCTGGGAGTTGAAGTCCACAAGTCATCAAAGGGCCAAGTTTGAAGACCCCCGCCATAGACCTTTGAAGGTTGTCACAGGGATTGTAATCTGTATAAAATGGAGCGGCGATACTCACTTTATCATAATAAATCTTTGATTCTGCAGATCTAGACACAGTGGGCTTCAAGTGGACCAAAGGAAAATCTGAATCTCGGTTAAATATAGACTTCAGCCAAGCAATAGACAAGGTCTGTTGTTTGCCAAACCAATTTGGGCGATGTTTGAACTCATTTGCACATTAAGGACGTTTGACCTACGTTCCATAGATTTTTACATGCAGGTGTAAAGTCCCGTTCACATTAGCAGATGGGCTAGGAGGAAGCAGCACCTCTTCCCACGTACAAACGGGTTAAGTCAAGAGTGGATAGTTGACAACTGGATGGTCCTGTCTGATTAAATGTCAGTGGAGATTCTCAGTCACCCAGATCCTGGTTGTCCCAAAGGTGTTTTTTTTTTTCAGGAGGCAACTCAACTTCCTTGTGTTTCTTTTGAAGACGTTTCGCTTCTCATCCAAGAAGCTTCTTCAGCTCTGGCTCCCCACACACACAGCTTCTACAACGCAGTCTTTTCAGCAGTTCCCAAAAGGCTCCACACCCATTTGCACCACTCAGGTGACCCCTGAGGACACAGACAAACCTCCAAGTGGCCTCAACAACTCCCTAAAAGAATGCAAATGACCAGCTGTCTGCAAGGAGCATAAATCCTTCCACTCCCCACCATCCAGTCAGAGCTGAAGAAGCTTCTGGGATGAGAAGCGAAACGTCTTCAAAAGAAACACAAGGAAGTCCAGTAGCCTTCTGGAAAAAAAAAAAGCACCTTTGGGTCCTGTCTGATTAATGACTAATAAAGTTTGCTGACTCCATGCATTTTTCTTCCCCTCTTTTTTTCCCCTCTCCAGCACGGCTCCTTTTTCCTCACAGATCTTGCAGGTGGATTTTGAGATGGAAGAATTGCTGGGGATGCAGTTTATTACGTGGCAGGTTGAATATCCTGGAGGAAGGACGTCTGACCTCAGCATCTCCAAGATTTATGTCAGCCAGAAGGATCTCGTTGGCATTCTTCCCTTAGCTATGGTATGATAAATTATTTCTGCTCTTGGTTTGGGGATCACAACCAGGTTAGCTCATCCACAATGTGGATAGACCAGAGTTGAATATAACAAAAATATTCTTGCTTTCCAGTCTCTGGATTGAAGGTGAAGGTTGAAATTCGGGTGTGTTCCAGGTTATTTATCTTACCTTATGACGCTTTGGGCGGTTAAGGAAGAGCAAATGAATTCAGAAGAGTAGTAGATAAAACAAGGTGGAAACCTAGTTGAACTGGAGGAGGGTTCCCTTCTTGGTTTCAGGGTATTGGACATTATTTTGGACTTTCCCTGTTTACGCTAATGTTCTGCGGAACTGTAGGTCTTCTCCTACTGTCTGTCAGAGACCTAGATGTGCTGCAAATCAATTTCTCCCATGTTCTTTCCATCATTCCTGCAATGATTGCTCCATCCCTGACAGTGAACGCTTCTCTGTTCTGTTAGGAGATCTTTCTAGTGATGTATCTTGGCATTGTAGGTTATAGATGTTCTCTAAGCTTGGTTTTTCATTTGTCCAGTTGTTTGGTTGCTTCTTGGAGAATCGAGACTTGTGTGTTGGTTGTGGAATATATCATGGCTGGAATATGTCAGGCATAAAAGACCAAGTTCACACATGAAGGTTCAATAAAACTGATTTATTGCTAAAAGTCCATGCATGGGAATCTTCTCAACTAACCATCTGCACCTGCTAAGAGTTTTATAAAGGCCAACAGCACTCAAGGAGAGTTGGACTTAGTTCCCTTGTGACTACGTAAGGATTCTGAGCATATTCCTCTTTTCACTCCACCTCCAGGTTCTGCCATCTCTTCTACAGTATGTAATTAAGTGGACTTTGCTGTTTGGTGTTGTTGTTATCTAAGTGAGTGACCATGTCACGATCTGCTTCTTGTTGAGCTGATTCAGTGCCAACTTCATTTCTTCTGGGTGGTGATTAATAGTCATGTGGAGATGTTGTAATCTGAAGATGCCCGCACTTCTGGTGGTGAATGGTATGTTTTGGTCTCCAGGCCTTTGATCATCTGAGTTGCTCTTCTCTGATTTTTTTCCAAACTCTCAACATGGCCCAAGCTAGGGGCTCTGATTCTTCCCAAAGGCCCGGTGACACACGCCTTAGTACAGTAAATCAAAAGAAACAGTAGAAAGCTTTGTTTAATGATCACCACGCTCCTTTAGCAACCGTGGTGTTCTCTTAATGACCACCACAAAGGAGGTTGTAAAATCATACACAGCCACGTGGTGATTCGCTTAATGACCTGTCCGACTTACCATCGTAATTCCAGCCTTGTACATCAGGAATACCTGTATTGGAAACTTCATTGCTTCAACAAACACTAATATCTGAGAGAAGGAAAGTAAGGAACAGGTGACTTCCAATTCTTAGCTTCCATATCACACAGATATAAATATAACTTGGTAATCATGAAGGACTCAAATTATAATTTTCCAACAATTGAGCTTGGATTATTTGGATAAACAGCTGGATGGGTCTCCTTCCCATGAAATTCTGAAGAGGCCAGATTTTTCAATGCCCGTAGCATGCGCTTAAGAGGTGAACATCTATTAGGTATGTATGTATATGAGTTTTGGGGGAGATTATAATAGGAACTGGGTGGTTGCCTAGTAACAGGCTGTTAATTATTATGCTTCTAGTCAAGGTGGGGGAGATGTTTATGCTGTTCTTGGAGACCACCAATGGAATTTACCAACTTTAAAACTCGCCTTTGGGCTTTAATGACCGAGACAATTATTGCAAGGGTTGATTATTCTCTTATTTAAAAACTAAACCAAATAAAAAACGTTTATCATGCTGGGTTTGTTGAATTATTCTAACCCAAGCAAGAGATTTGGAAATTGGGATGTTGAATACTGTAAGGCATAGAATGTAGAATAATAGCATTGGAAGGAACCTTGGAGGTCTTCTAGTCCAACCCCCTGTTCAAGCAGGAGACCCTATACCAGGGGTAGGCAACCTTGGCTCTTTTATGACTCATGGACTGACTCAGGAATTCTGGGAGTTGAAGTCCACGAGTCATAAAAGAGCCAAGGTTGCCTACCCCTGCCCTATACCATTCCAGTAGGTTTTACAGGCATTCCCAGATCTTTTCTGAGACTCATGGAGATGACTCTGGTGTGCTTGTGGTGTGCTTGTGCTGATGAAAAAGCAACCAGAGTTTGCATTTAGAACATAGAATGTAGAATAATAGGGTTGGAAGGAACCTTGGAGGTCTTCTAGTCCACCCCCCTGCTCAAGTAGCAGAACTTATATGATCCCGGTCATATGGTTGTCCAGTCTAGTCTTGAAAATTCTAATGATGGAGACTGAGATATGTATGAAAGTGGCTGTCCTTGTTGGGAGCTATTCCAGAAGAAGTCCTTCCATTAAAACAGCCTGTTCGAACACTCTGAGTCAAGCTTGGAATCTTCCAGAATCATCATCGTTGTTTGGTCTGGGCCAGGATCTGTAGACATGAATGAGTTTTTCACACATTGTGTCAACCTCCAGCTCGAATATCCAAATCAAAGTCCAGGATTACTTTCATTTCTGAAAAGCTTACTGGTTTATTGAATACATGGCATGGTACAGGCAAAGGAAAACTAACTCTAAAATCCCAAGGCATCAAACCATAGCATATAACAATGACATTCCCAGCCAAAGCCCCAGATGTCCACGTAGCTCTTGTAAATAAAGTCTCTTTGTAATGGGAACCATTTGCTATCTCCTTCACACCTGCTAGAATGTCCTTGAAAGGTTTCCAAACAGTCATCTCTCAGCAAATTTCCAAAGAACCGGGGAGATTTCATTTCTCTAACTAACCCAGTCCAAACCATCATCACCGCCCCCCACCTTACTCTAAAGGCAAGATGAAAACAAAGAGGCATGTAGCTGCCAAATTTTCACTCTTGACACATTGGCTAAGATAATTTTTATATATTCCATTCCTGTAGTTGCCCTCTCACGCAAATGACTCTGATGTGTGTGGTTAGCTTTAGTTTAAGTGTGGGATGCCGATCCAGCCAGTGTGAAATTTAATCCATATTTATCATGTAGCTGTCATGGTTCCGATAGACGAAGCCAATTAAAAGGACTTCGAGGCAAAGATTTCTTCCTGGACGAACATTTTATTCAGGAAACAAAGTATTGGCACTTACATAATTGAACCCAAGACTAAAGTTCCCTCCCCCCTGATATAATGTAACAAGTTGCAATTCCCACCCAAGAAAGGCTGTCAAGAATCACATTCACCAATTAATCTAAAACTCGGGACTCTCCTCTCTACTTTTCAGCCCGGCCAAAACTTTATCTAGAATTGACCTTGAAGCTCACCTAGCTGTAATTGTTTAGGCTAACTGAAAATGCTCAAGCATTCCCCCTTTCTACATCTGAGAATCCCACACAACAAAAAAAGCACAAGGAAAGCAGAAGGTAAAATGGCTGCAATCTCTTAATTGTCACAGTGTTGACAGTAGCATGGGTTTTTTTTAAAAAAAAAAAAAACACCAAATGGTGTAGTAACATCTTGGCTTCATGAGAAACTTAGTCACTGTGACGTGACCTATGAGAATTTTAGTTCTAAACCTCTTCTGAGGCTATGTCAAGTTCCAGGGAAATCAGGAGAGTCAGGCTGTTCAAATGAATCTAAAGATTTTGTTGGGAGTCCGTGCCAGCCAGTGGACCCGGCAGCTGAGTTCGGGGAATCAGAGGAGGAGGAGGAAGAGGGGGGGCCTGGAGAGCCATCAGAGTCGGAGGAAGGCTCTGATGAGCTCCAGGACTTACAATCTGATGAAGAGCCTGGCCCCTCCAGTCGTGCTCAGGTTGAGACTCAGCTGTGCGGGGAAGCTGAGTCAGACTCTGAGGACTCACAGCTGGAAGATATCATAGACCAGCGGTTCTCAACCTATGGGTCGCGACCCCATTTGGGGTTGATCGACCATTTCATGGGGGTTGCCAAGCAAGGCTGTCCGCCATTTTTTCCCCTTTTCCAGCGGGTGCCTTACCTCCCTTGAGCTGGGCCAGCTGGTGGTCGGCCTGCTCCGTCTCTGCCGCTTGCCAGCTACGCCTCAATCGGTGCAGGGGGCGGAACCACGCATGTGCGGTGCTCCCGGGCAGGGAAAGTCCTCGACTTACGACCGGTTGGGTAGTCCTCGACTTATGACCGGTTTAGTCCTCGACTTACGACCGTTTAGTCCTCGACTTATGACCGGTTTAGTCCTCAACTTATGATCGGTTTAGTCCTCGACTTACGACCGGTTTAGTCCTCGACGTACGACCGGTTGGGGGTCACGGCATTAAAAAGGTTGAGAACCACTGTCATAGACACTCGCAAACGCAGACAGGCAACAAGAGCAGGACAGAGGGAGGCAATGGTACGACTCCAAGGGAGGAGGAGAAGGCATTGAGAAGCCATGCCTTGGGGCTGCATAATAAAAAGGGAAGGTGTGGGCAGTGCTGGTTGCTGAAGGCAACAGTTTGCGAAGGATTCAAGTTTCATGGAATCCTGTTTTGTTTGCCTTGCCTGTGAACAATTCTCTGTTGGAATCGTGTTCTGTTTGCCTTGGGACAATTCTTTGTTTGAATCGTGTTCTGTTGCCTTTGAACACTTCTCCGTGTTTTGTTTGCCTTTGCTTTTGGGACATTTTGCAGATCTGTACCTAATTAATAAAAGGGGTTTGTTTTTCCTGCATTTCCAGCCTACTTGTTAAAAGAGGGGTTTGTCCTTGTGAATTAACAAGGACTCATGTAGGCTGGGACAGAACAGATTTATTGCAAGCTCTCTACAAAAATCTGACCAACTAACGGCCAAGGGAAATGAGCGGGAGATAAGACAGGCATTCAAGGTGGGCTGGACTTAAATCTCTTGCGGGCACACAGGGACTTGTGCTTAACCCTTCCCTCGGGCTCAGCCTGGTCATCTCCTACAGATTGAGCACTTGGTCTACTGAGCAGTTGTCTTAAACAAAAGTAGGCGTTCCTCAACCTTGACTTTCAAC